CTTTCTATGGCTCTAATAGCTCTGACCCCCAGGCAACTTTATTTATTAACATACAATTAAAATCACATTTCAGTACAAATAGAATACCACCATACATTACTGCCCATCTCCTCGAGGGTGTGTCACATGAAGGATTCTATCTTGCCAGTTCTCTTCTAGCCTGTCCCCTGCCTTCTACTTGTGAAGAGTGATCCTGCACCCAGTGTCCATGCTTCCCATCTCGGCTGCCGAATAAGCTTTTATCAAGCCCAGCCCCACACAGTGGGAGCTGGCTTATGCCATCACACAGGGCCCTTTGCCGCTATTGTTGAGGGTACTGTGTATGTCAGGGCTTTCAGCGTCAGGATATCATGTTGCTCTGACCATGCAGTACACAGAGAGCACAAGGGGCCTGGGCCAAGAGGGAGGGGGAAGTTACTGGAAAAGCACCAAAGATCATGGGAAGCAGGTGCAGAGGCCCAGGGGTGTGGCTGATCCAGGACAGTTCCAGGTCAGACATTTAAGAGGGTAGGTGGGCACCTGGGGAGTGGGACTTGAAACTGTAGGGAGGAAATACTGGTTGTGTTTGATTCAAAAGCAGATCACTTCATAAATTCTGCATGAAAATTCGATGATAGACAGAGACTAGATACGTCTAGTCTCAGAAAATTAAGGGTACCATATACGGGGAATGAACCATAGCCTTCATTAGCGGGTTGGGTTATAAGGCTGAATCATTGGGATGTCGGGCCTTGTGGATGAGTAACCCAGCCGTCTTACTAAACTACTTAGAGTACTGCTCATAGAGGAAAGAGAAAAGCCTGAACGGCCTTCTCCCCCACCCCCCACCCCCCATCCCCCACCCCCCACCCCCGCCTTGGTCTTTGGGTATCACTGCAGCTGCTGTGTTCTGTCATCCGGCTCTCATTAGCCTCACACTGGAGAGGTGGTCTCTGTTGTGTGTCCCCAGTCCTACTCATCACATTCTCACAAACATGGCAGTGCTGAGTAGACTCTGGCGTGTTCTTCTCTGGCGCTGCTTACTCATCTCCATGTTAAATAGCTGGTCTGCTTTTGCTCAATGAATCTGATAAGGATGCCTCTGGACTCAGGTCACTAAATCAAGGTCAACGGAAAGTTCAGTGGGTACACATTAGTCTAAAATCCCCAGACAATACTCCCCAAGTATGACTTATGAAGTTGTGTTGCCTAGGGCTCATCTTAGTATGACCCCTGGATCCCCACACACACATTTTTTTTCAACTTGACACAAATTAAGGACACTTGGAAGGAGGGAACCTCAACTGAGGAATGGCTGCCTGCAGTCTGGGCTATGAACACATCTCTGGGACACTTTCTTGGGTTGCTAATTGATTGTGGAAGGCCTAGCCCACTGTGGGTGGTGACACCCTTGCCACGTGACTCTGGGTTGTATAAGAAAGGAGGCTGAGTGTGAACATGGAAACGAGCCAGTGAGCAGCATCCTTCCACAGTCCCTGCCTCAGTTCCTGCCTCCACGTTCCCGTCTTGAGTTCCTGCCTGGGCTTCCTGCAACAATGGGCTGTAACCTATAAGCCAAATAAACTTCTCCCCGGATTGGGCTTTGATCGATATTTTATCACAGCCATAGGGAAGCAAACTAGGAAAGAACTTGTTACCAGGACTAGGATATTGCTGTGATGGACCTGACCACGCTTTTTGGAAAGGATTGTAGAAGCATTTGGAACTTTGGTCTGGAAAAGTTATTGAGTGCTTAATTCTTAGTGAACTAACTGGTCTGTGGGAACTTGGAAGACACTGTCAAGAGAATTGCAGATGGTGGAGGCCTGGTTTGTTGAAGTTTCAGAGGGAAGCAAAGATTATTGGAGATGTTTGTGTGATATTTTGGGTTAGCAATCTGTGGAAGTGAGACCTTTGCTTTACTAGGACAATCATACTGGTTGGCTGGAACTGATGAATTGGCTGCGGTTAATAGACCAGTATCACTGAGGGGAAATTTTCTGGGGCATATTTCCTCAGGATCATCACACAGAAGGATAATTTCTAGTTCATCAGGGGCAACTTT